CCGAGTTTGAGGGTATTTTTTCCTTTTCTTCAGGAGAAACAAGTCGGAGGATGTTTTTCATGCGAAGATTGTTGATACTTAACGAATATGCCACAGAGGCCACTTAAGATTTGAAAAGGCCCCTTGCATTCTTTTAAAACCCTTGAAAATTGCAAAGAAACAAATATACCGTAATATACCTATTCTTTTAACGTTTCAGGCCAAAACGTGTGCATGAACCTTCTTTGTTTGAGGCTTTGCGCCGGACACTGAGGTCTATGAATTCGAGATTCCTAAACCACGCACTTGGGCACGACGAGGTTGCGGGAGAAGGGGGGAGGGGCGCGAGCCTTATGGCTGAAGCTTGTTCGTTTAATGCTTAAGCCTAACCCTATTCCTAAACCTTATTCGTCTAAGGGTCCGGACCAAAGCATATTCGTTTCGCTTAAGCATCGAGCGCCTGGGAGATTTCAGAGTGGAAAAAAAAACGCTTCCCTTGGACAAAACATCAGGGGAACGGGAATCGAAGCGGCAAAAAACTCAAGGGGCTTCTTCAAAATCGAGGGGAAAAAGAGGATGTCCAAGAATTTCAAGGGAATCAGGCCGAAACTCAAGAGACTCCAGCCGAGTTTGAGGGTGTTTTTTCCGTTTCTTCAGGGGAAACAACTCGGAGGATTTTTTTCATGCGAAGATTGTTGATACTTAACGAATATGCCACAGAGGCCACTTAAGATTTAAAAAGGCCCCTTGCATTCTTTAAAAACCCTTGAAAATTGCAAAGAAACAAATATTCTGGGGAAGGACTCGGAAGGACGCTGTCCATTCCAATTTGTTTGTTCCTAAACCTATTCTTTTAACGTTGCAGGCCAAAACGTGTGCATGAACCTTCTTTGTTTGAGGTTTTGCGCCGGACACTGAGGTCTATGAATTCGAGATTCCTAAACCACGCACTTGGGCACGACGAGATTGCGGGAGAGGGGGGGAGGGGCGCGAGCCTTATGGCTGAAGCTTGTTCGTTTAATGCTTAAGCCTAACCCTATTCCTAAACCTTATTCGTCTAAGGGTCCGGACCAAAGCATATTCGTTTCGCTTAAGCACTCGAGCACCTGGGAGATTCCAGGGTGAAAACAACGCTTCCCTTGGACAAAACATCAGGGGAACGGGAAGGAAAAAAGATGATGTCCAAGAATTTCAAGGGAGTCAGGCCTAAACTCAAGGGACTCCAGCCGAATTTGAGGGTGTTTTTCCCTTTCTTTTCAGGAGAAACAACTCGGAGGATTTTTTCACGCGAAGATTGTTGATACTTAACCGATATGCCGCAGAGGCCCCTTAAGATTTGAAAAGGCCCCTTGCATTCTTTTAAAACCCTTGAAAATTGCAAAGAAACAAGTATTCTGGGTAAGGACTCGGAAGGACACTGTCCTCATCAATTTGTAAAATCTCTTACTACCCTTAAAAACTTAACAAAAACCTCTTGCTTTCAAAATTGATTTAACGGGCATCTCCACCCGAATTTGAATCGTTTAAATAATTTGAATAACTGGGCTCCCCAGGATTCAAATTCTGTAAATTATTTGAATTTTTACATAAATTCCCTCTAATTCAAATAATTTAAATAACTGTGTTCCCCACATATATAATTTCTTTAAATTTTATAAATTGTGCCTCCCTCTCCAAGGCCCTCCCCACGACTTAAAATATTTAATTTTTAATTATTCAGTTTCCACCCGAGTTTAAAGAACTTAAATAATTTAGATAGGTTGAATATCTTGAATAGTTTACATCCTGGGGGGGGGGGGGAAAGGTCGTCCCAGGATTCCACGCAGGGCTGTATTCTTACAAAAACCGTGGCGCGTAGATCCAGGCAGATTTTGTCCGTCGTTTTTTTGAGAAAACACCAAAGACAAAAATATGCCTGGATCTATTTGAAAAAACACCATGGACAAAATCTGCCTGGATCTACGCGGCGCTGTTTCTTACAAAAAAGTGGCGCGCAGACCCTGGCAGATTATGTCCTTCGTGTTTTTTGAGAAAACACCATGGACAAAATCTGCCTGGATCTACGCGGGGCTGTTTCTTACAAAAAAAGTGGGACGTAGATCAAATTCCTAAATTCATAATTCCAGCGGGCCGGAAACCCAGAAGAATTAGAACTTCTGAAATTCCTTGAATTCCTTAAATTTCTAAATTCCTAATTCCCGGGAATTAGGAATTTAGGAATTTAGGAATTTCGGCTGAAGGCTAAAATTCCTAAATTCCTAAATTCCTAATTTCCGGGAATTAGGAATTTAGGCATTTAAGGAATTCAAGGAATTTCAGAAGTTCTAATTCCTCTGGGTTTCCGGCCCGCTGGAATTAGCAATTTAGGAATTTAGGAATTTCAGCTACAGCCCAAAACTCTTAAATTTAAAATTCCTAATTCCCGGGAATTAGGAATTTAGGAATTTAGGAATTTCGGCTACAGGCCAAAACTCCTAAATTCCTAAATTCCTAATTCCAGCGGGCCGGAAACCCAGAGGAATTAGAACTTCTGAAATTCCTTGAATTCCTTAAATTCCTAAACTCCCAATTCCCGGAAATTAGGAATTTGGAAATTTAGGAATTTAGGAATTTCGGCTACAGGCCCAAAACTCCTAAATTCCTAAATTCCTAATTCCAGCGGGCCGGAAACCCAGAAGAATTAGAACTTCTGAAATTCCTTGAATTCCTTAAATTTCTAAATTCCTAATTCCCGGGAATTAGGAATTTAGGAATTTAGGAATTTCGGCTGAAGGCTAAAATTCCTAAATTCCAAAATTCCTAGTTTCCGGGAATTAGGAATTTAGGAATTTAAGGAATTCAAGGAATTTCAGAAGTTCTAATTCCTCTGGGTTTCCGGCCCGCTGGAATTAGCAATATTAGGAATTTAGGAATTTCAGCTACAGCCCAAAACTCTTAAATTTCTAAATTCCTAATTCCCGGGAATTAGGAATTTAGGAATTTAGCAATTTCGGCTACAGGCCAAAACTCCTAAATTCCTAAATTCCTAATTCCAGCGGGCCGGAAACCCAGAGGAATTAGAACTTCTGAAATTCCTTGAATTCCTTAAATTCCTAAATTCCTAATTCCAGCGGGCCGGAAACCCAGAAGAATTAGAACTTCTGAAATTCCTTGAATTCCTTAAATTCCTAAATTCCTAATTCCTGGGAATTAGGAATTTAGGAATTTAGGAATTTCGGCTACAGGCCCAAAACTCCTAAATTCCTAAATTCCTACTTCCAGCGGGCCGGAAACCCAGAAGAATTAGAACTTCTGAAATTCCTTGAGTTCCTTAAATTTCTAAATTCCTGATTCCCGGGAATTAGGAATTTGAGAATTTAGGAATTTCGGCTCAAGGCCAAAACTCGTAAACTCCTAAATTCCTAATTCCCGGGAATTAGGAATTTAGGAATTTAAGGAATTCAAGGAATTTCAGAAGTTCTAATTCCTTTGGGTTTCCGGCCCGCTGGAAGTAGGAATTTAGGAATTTAGGAGTTTTGGCCTGTAGCCGAAATTCCTAAATTCCTAATTCCCGGGAATTAGGAATTTAGGAATTTAAGGAATTCAAGGAATTTTAGAAGTTCTAATTCCTCTGGGTTTCCGGCCCGCTGGAATTAGGAATTTAGGAATTTATGATTTTCGGCCTTTAGCCGAAACTCCTAAATTCCTAAATTCCTAAATTCCTAATTTCCGGGAATTAGGAATTTAGGAATTTAAGGAATTCAAAGAATTTCAGAAGTTCTAATTCCTCTGGGTTTCTGGCCCGCTTTCCTTGAATTCTTAAATTCCTAATTCCCGGGAATTAGGAATTTAGGGATTTAGGAATTTCGGCTCAAGGCCAAAACTCCTAAATTCCTAATTTCCGAATTTCCGGGAATTAGGAATTTAGGAATTCAAGGAATTCAAGGAATTTCAGAAGTTCTAATTCCTCTGGGTTTCTGGCCCGCTGGAATTAAGAATTTAGGAATTTAAGAATTTCGGCTACAGGCCAAAACTCCTAAATTCCTAAATTCCTAATTCCCGGAAATTAGGAATTTAGGAATTTAGGAATTTCGGCTACAGCCCAAAACTCCTAAATTCCTAAATTCCTAATTCCAGCGGGCCGGAAACCCAGAGGAATTAGAACTTCTGAAATTCCTTGAATTCCTTAAATTCCTAAATTCCTAATTCCCGGGAATTAGGAATTTAGGAGTTTTGGCCTTGAGCCAAAATTCCTAAATTCCTAATTCCCGGGAATTAGGAATTTAGAAATTTAAGGAATTCAAGGAATTTCAGAAGTTCTAATTCCTCTGGGTTTCTGGCCCGCTGGAATTAGGAATTGAGGAATTTAGGAGTTTTTGCCTTAAGCCGAAATTCCTAAATTCCTAATTCCCGGGAATTAGGAATTGAGGAATTTAGGAATTCAGGCCTTCAGCCGAAATTCTAAATTCCTCAATTCCTAATTCCGGGGAATCAGGAATTTAGGAATTTAGGAATTCGGGCCTTAAGCCGAAACTCCTAAATTCATTAATTCCTAATTTCAAGGAATTAGTAATTTAGGAGTTTCGGCTTAAGGCCTGAATTCCTAAATTTCTAATTCTTCATATTGGAGTAAGGAGGCAAGGACAAAGGTCAAATGATACGTAAAGGTTCCTCTTACATATATATAGATATATATTCCGTGTTGTGTCTTAAGAGCATGTTAGGGCTTAGGGTTTTAGGGCTTATAGGGTTCAGGGTTTAGAGGGTTAGAGGGTTTACAGGGTTTAGGGGCCAAGCTAGGTTTCAGGTTCAGTCACCAGATCCCACAGATTTCATGCTTCAGCCCTAGCGAACCCTGAAAAAAGCCCAAAACCATCATTTCAAGCCCTGGAGCCCTTTTATTCAGCTCCCCCGAAGCCTGGAAACCTCTTGAGCAACTCCAAAACCTGCTACTACTTGCCCTATAGGGTTTAGGGTTTAGGGTTTAGGGTGACCCTAAAGCCTAAGCCCTAAGCCCTAAGCCCCTGGCATGCCCCCAAGGCATGAAGGAGGTGATGGATCGCATTGCGACGAAGTCGCCCTACAGCTGCACCTCGGTCTGTTTCTGCTGAGGGGTCTAGGGTTGCAGTTTTTGTGTGCGGGGTGGGGTTTAGGGTTTAGGGTTTTTAGGGTCTAGGGTTTAGGGTTTAGGGTTTAGGGTTTTAGGGCTTTAGGGCTTTAGGGTTTTAGGGTTTTAGGGTTTAACGCTGCTCATGGTTCAGGGTTTAGGGTTTTTGGGGAGGGGGGGCTTAGGGTTTGGGATTCATTTCAGGGTGCTGCCTGGTGTAGAGGTTTGAATGTTCATGTTTAGCGTGCCTTAGGGTTTGGAGTGGGGGTTGCGCGGGGCCCTTGGATATGAAGGGCTGAGTGGTTCAGGGCTTTAGGTCACTTTTAAGGCTTGAGGGTTAAGATGTTTCGTGGCTCTTGGGGCTTAGCAGTTTGGAAGGGTTGAGGGTTGGAAGGGTTGAGGGTTTGGAAGGGTTCAGAGTTTGGTATTTGAGGCGTCAGCGTATTCCAGGGCTTTTAGGCTTTCGCTGTATCCTGCGGGAAGTCTTAAAGGGTTAAGGGGCTTGCGTGTTTGAAGCCAAACCCTAAACCCTAAACCCTAAGCCCTAAACCCTAAACCCTAAACCTGTTTTGGCAAGGGGGGGTTTAAGGATTACAGGCGTTAGTGTGCAATTTTTTTCGTACATCAGGAGGCTCGGATCCTGCACGGGCCTCCCCGGCCAACCCTAAACCCAAAACCCTTTAGGGTTTAGAGTTTATGGTTTAGGGCCTGGGGTTTAGGGTTTAGGGTTTAGGGTTTAGGGTTTAGGGTTTAGGGTTTAGGTTTAGGGCTTAGGGCTTAGGGCTTAGGGCTTCGGGTTTAGGGCTTAGGGCTTAGGGCTTGGGTTTTCGGGAGGGCTCAAAATTCTCCGGTTGCTGAGCAGCCTTGAGGTCTTGGGGGTTCAGGACTTGGGGGCTGAAAACGTTGGCTTACGAGCTTCCTTAGGGTTTAGGGTTTAGGGTTTAGGGTTTAGGGTTTAGGGTTTAGGGTTTAGGGTTTAGGGTTTAGGGCACATAGGGGCCCTAGAAATCAGACCATCAGTTGTTCTGCGGTCACCAATGCAGCAGAAGGTTGGGCTAGGGTTCAGGGTTTGAAGGTTTGTATTGGGGGTTTAGGGTTTAGGGTTTAGGGCGCATAGGGGCCCTAGAAATCAGACCATCAGTTGTTCTGCGGTCACCAATGCAGCAGAAGGTTGGGCTAGGGTTCAGGGTTTGAAGGTTTGTATTGGGGGTTTAGGGTTTAGGGTTTAGGGACTTAAGATTAGGGATTAGGGTTAAGAGCCCCCCTGTCAGGGTCCGAACCAAATTCTGTGGTAACCTGGAACACCAGCGTGCGGTGCCCAGTGTGCCTGGAGCTTTGTGTACGAATTCAGGGTTTAGGGCTTAGGTGTGAGGATCTCGCTGTGGCGACTGAACCAAAAAGCACCCTTCTTTAAAGCCTAAACCCTAAACCCTAAACCCTAAATTCAGGGCTTAAGGGGTAGGGCTTTTGGGTGCTTTCGGGGATCACAGTTTGAGGCTTATACAAGTCGAGGGTGTTGCGATTTTGGTACTCTAGGTCCTGTGGGCTTAGTTTTTTTTTTTTTTTTTTTGGGGGGGGGGGGGATTTCGAGTTCGAGGCCTGGTTCTTGTGGTTTGGTGTCTAGGGGTTTAGGGTCGGTTTGGGGTGTCAACTTTCCGAATTAAGGGGGTGCAGCTACTAAGCTCCGGGCCTTTGCCGAGGGGTTCGTTGCATTGACTTTTCGGTTTGGATACCTGTCGGTTTGCAAGCCTACTCCGTGGCTAAAAACAAGCTGCAAAATTGCATGTTCCCCGTGGTTCGGTGGTGTTTTCAGAGGTTCGATGGTGCCGCCGGCATGCAGTGAGTACTCTCCGGGCCTTTGCAGGTGTTGTTTGCATTGGATTTTAATGTTCTATGCCTGATGGTTGGTTGGCCACTTCGGAACCCAAGAAAAAGCATCTGCAAAAAAATGCATGTTGCACGTAGTTTGATGGGAATCTCAAGCCCTTCGCCGCCTTCTTGTGGTTGCATGGCGAATTTCAAGCCTTCATCACCGATTCTTCGCCTTCACCGTATTCACCGTTCACCACTCTTAAGCTTAGGAAGTGAAGTGAACGAACAAGGAGCGGCGCCCTAATTAGAAAACTCGCTTTGACCAACCCTCAAAGCCCACGAACCCCTACTTCTCGGGCCTCCGCCGCCTCCGCCCTCAACATGTCCTGTGTTAATGCCGCCCTGCTGCCGGCTGCACAAAATCCTTCATTACCGCAGAAAAATCTTAATTACCGAGGGTGGTCGGTAGTTAAGCTTTTTCAGGCGGCCCTGCCCCACAAAAGCCTGAATTACTGCACCAAAAGCTTAATTACCGAGGGTGTCGGTAAGTAAGCTTTTTTGCGCCTGTTTTCGTGGCAAAAGAGCGTGTTTGAGGTAGCAATGTCTACCTCAAACACACTCTTTTGCCACGAAAGCAGGCTGCAAAAAGCTTAATCACCGACTCCCCTCGGTAATTAAGCCTTTTCTGCGGTAATTAAGGTTTTTGTGCGACGTGGGCCGCCTGCAAAGGCTTAGTTACCGACCGCCCTCGGTAATTGAGCTTCTTCTGCAGGAATTAAGGTTTTGTGCGGCGGGGGCCGTCTTAAAACAAAAACCTTAATTACCGAACCCCTCGGCAATTAAGCTTTTGGTGCAGTAATTCAGGTTTTTGTGGGGCAGGGCCGCCTAAAAAAGCTTAATTACCGACCCCCCTCGGTAATTAAGTTTTTTCTGCGGTAATTAAGGTTTTTGTACGGCGGGGAGGGTGGCTTATCCATCATCGGGGCTCAGCATCTTGTGTTGGGCCATCATGGGCCATGGGATGCAGGACCAATGGGTCTTGCTGTGTGGCAACGCAGTATCCAAACAGAAGAATCAGGGCTGTGTGTCTGTGTGATTTAAGTTTCAGCAGTCTCCCAGTGAGTCTCCCAGCCTCCCCTAATTTTCCGATTTGGTCCTGAATTCGCAGATTTTTGGACAGAAATCGCCGATTTTGGCATAAATCATCATCAATGGAGAGATAGCCTGTGTGTTTTCAAAACAAGAAATTTACCCGAGCGTGCCTTGGCCATGGACTTGCTGGTATAGATGCTTCGGGGCAAGTTTCAACCTTATTCACCGAGGTCAAGGCTTAATTGCTGCACCACCCTGCTGCATTTAGGAAAGTTCAGAGTTTGGGCCCCTCAGCCGTAGTAGTCTTCATAGCCTTGGTTCAGGCCTTTTTAGGCTTGTCCGGATCCGACTAAGACAGCCTTAGAGAGAGTGGCCAGGGAACTGCCTGTTGGCATGGCGGGGGTTTCGTCAAAGAGCCTGGCAACCAATTCTGCCACACGTGCAACCCGGAGGTCCTGGAGGCCACGCAAGCAGCCATTCAGGCGACCAGCTAGGAGGGTGACCTCATGGACGATGGATCTGATGGGTCACACGGCATACTGAGGGCAGAGAGCAAGCTGTTCTTGGCCAACGCCTTCGCCGCGGTTTGCACCACAGGCATCGCGCTTGATCACTTAGCAAGTTTTGTGCGCCAGAGGACCTGAGTGGACCGCCGCAAAGCTCGCGGCCACTGAGGAGGAAAGCTCGCTCAAGTTGATCAAGAGTTTGGGGTTTAGCGAGATCGACCATGCTGGACAGCCTTCTGGGTTGACGAAAAGCAAAAAGCCTTTCACCGCGCTTCATGTACTCCCGGATGGTCGCTGGTTGTGGTCTTCGACAAGGAATCATGGACCTTGAAGGAAGCCAAACTCAAGGTGATGGAACGCTTTGCACCCCTCTGTTCCTCACCTGCGGGCCCGGAGGTTTGGGCCTTGTGTGCTTGTGGCTCCCACTGGCACAGCCTGGAAAAAACATCAGCTTTGAGATAAAGGATGTAGTCACTGTGCTCTTCTTGAACTTCTGTTTGCATCCTTAAGTACGGGTGCCGCATCCCACCCTGCCAGGCCCGGGCCCGACCTCTTCCGCCAACTTTTTCGCCGGATTCGGGCATTCAGCCCTTAAGATGCCTAGCGTTTCTTACTTAGTCATTATCCTCGATGTGCATGGTGTTTTGCTTTTTCTTTTTGTTGGACTGAGGTTAAAAGTTGATTCCCTGATTGCTGGAGAAGGTTCTTTCGGTACCCGATGAACACCTTGCTTTGGGCAGGCTTGATACTTGAAACCTACACTGTAAGCCCGAAGCCCTACAGACCCTAGAAATCCTTCAAGCCCTAGAAACAATGTCAACCCTACAATCCCTATAAACCCTACAAACCCTAGAAACCCTCTAAAACCTATAATCCCTATGCACCCTATAAAATTTGCAAACCCGGCTAACCCTGCACTCTCGAAGCCCTAAACAAATCCCTAAAGCCATACCCCTGAACCCTACACTCTCTTAGTCTCTAAGCCCTAACCAAAAACCCTAAACTCCCCAAGCCTCTAAGCCTTATAAACTGGGTAGGCCCTTGGGCTATTTTGTATTTTCCCTTATCGGGGTTAAGCAATATGTTTCAGAGGGTTTTAAGGGCCATCCTGTAAACCTCAGCCCATCGACCCTAAACCCTAAACCCTAAACCCTAAACCCTAAACCCTAAACCCTAAACCCTAAACCCTAAACCCTAAACCCTAAACCCTAAACCCTAAACCCTAAACCCTAAACCCTAAACCCTAAGCCCTAGACCTCCTGTGCCCAGGCCACCTCAGCGGCGACCAGGCGCTTTCAGGTGCTTCGCGCGCCAGGGGAGTGAGGGTTTTTCGGGTTCGGGGTTTAGGGTTAGGGTTTAGGGTTGGTTTAGGGTTGAGAGTTTAGGGTTTAGGGTTTAGGATTTTGGGTTTAGGGTTTAGGGTTTGTGGTTTGGGATTCGTCCCGGCCCCCCCGCGCCCCCGCCCAGCTACCCCCCCGCCCCCCCCCCCCCCCCCGCGGCCCCTTCCCGCGCCCCGGCCCCCGCCCTTTGTCGTGGAAGAGTCTAGCCTGTATAGAACCTAAACCCCCAAACTCTCAGAACCCTAAACCGCTTCTTGAACATCCAGTGTTGGATTAAATTTAGAACTTTCGGTTGGGATGTGCCCCCTGTCCTTAACAGGGAGTGTTATTCGCATAAAGGGGGAACATTTCCCGAAAGACTGCGCAAATGCGTTTTTCTCGTCACTTGAGTGCCGCACTCCCCTGCAGGGGCCCGAGGCTTAGAGGACGCCCCGGAGCCGTAAATCCTGCGGTTTAGGGTGTCGGGTTCAGGCTTCAGGGTTTAGGGTTTAGGGTTACGCGGCAATTGTCCTATACCTTAAGATGGGGACCAAGTGAGCCTCAAAAGGGATAATGGTTCATCTTCTCGAATAGAGATGATAGCAGTATAGGGCGGGTTTTTTCAAGGTTGAGAGTCAAGTCTTACCAGTTCTGCTTGTCGGCCTTTCAGTCTTGCTGAGTGCTGACAGCGCCCTAAACCCTAAACCCTAAACCCTAAAGCCTCAACCTAAAACCCCGAGTTTGTTGGGTGGTGGTGCTGAGCTTTCTCTTACTGGTTCTGCGTCGGGGGGGGGACTGTTGGAATTTTCGGCCCTCTGCACCTCTCGAAACCCTAAACCCCTGTAAACTTTATGTCTGTAACCTTCAACCTTAGACTCCTCAAATGCCCAGACCCTACACTCTCTATGCCCTAAACCCTAAACCCTACCACCTTCAACAGCCTAAACCCCTAACCCTAACACCCTTAGCACCCTGAACACCCTAAACCCCTAACCCTAAACCCTAGACTTCCCCAACGCCCCTAACACCCCTAACCCCCTGAAATCCTCCACGGGCCTCTCTGCAAGCTCGCCGTTTGTTCGGAAAGGTGCGAACCAGCCCTCCTCCCGAGCCGCCACCTATGCAGGTGCCCAGCCATCTGAGTAAAGGGGGGGTGTGGCTCAGGGTGTTAGGGTGTTTAGTGTGTTAGTAGGCTGTTCCGTAGGATTTTTGGGTGCTACAAGGGTGTTCGTGGGGATGTGGGGCTTAGGGTGTTAGGGCTTCCTAGGGTGCTAGTAGGGTTAGTGAGATTTCAGGGACTTCAAGGGTTTTGGCAGGCTTACGTAGGGTTTTAGGGATCTTGGGGTTTAGGGTTTTCGTAGGGTTTTGGGGATCTTGGGGTTTTGAGGCTTAGGATTTTAGGGGTGTAGGGTTTTAGGGTTCAGGGTTTTGGTGGTTTCGGGTCTTGGGGGGTTTGAAAGTTTAGGGCTAATTATAGGCTGTTGGATAACAGCGTCAAGGTCGCGTTTTACGGCCCAGGGCATGAGTCATGCGACTGCATCAGGCCCTGCAACATTGAGAGATGCAACTTGACAAGATGGGAAAGCCCAGCCCAAAACTCTCAACCCTAAGCCCGAGAACTAGCTGGACGTCCGCGCCAAACATCTTCCATCTGCTGTCGCAAATCGCAGAGTAACAATTGAAGTCTCCAGCCTGTGAGCCTTAAACCTCGACCCAAACTAAACCTTCAACTCACAATTCCTCTAAACCCCCGAACCCTATAAACCCTAAAACCCCGAAACCCTAACCCATCCACCGAAGCCCTAACCCAACCTTGGCATGACGAACGCTGTGTCTGTGCCCAGCCGCCTGCGACGCGGCCGACCATGAGTGCTGCCCTTGCGCCCGAAAGGAGGCGCCCCGGGTAGGCCTCGTAGTTTAGGGTTTAGGGTTTGGGGTTTAGGGTTTGGGGTTTAGGGTTTGCGGTTTAGGGTTTGCGGTTTAGGGTTTGCGGTTTGGGTTTGGGGTTTGGGGTTTAGGGTTTAGGGTTCAGTGTTTGGGGTTTGGGGTTTAGGGCTGTAGGGTTCACTCTGTAGACCCTTAACCCTGCCAACCCTGAGCCCCGTAGGAATCTCCCGCAGAAGACAAATGCCATGCCCCGAAGGGATTTTCCTTGCGCGAAAGCGCGCAAGCCACCCAGGGTCCTAAACCCTAAACCCCGTTCAATACAGGGTTTAGGGTTTAGGGTTTGGGGTTTGGGGTTTAGGGTTTAGGGTTTAGGGTTTAGGGTTTAGGGTTTAGGGGAATAATTACCAATAGTATTCCCTTATGATGGTCCCTATGTCGAGCAACCCGAAGACTCCGGACTCGCTTGCTGAGTAGCCCTGGGATGCCCTTTTGCCCTTTTGGGGTTCTAGGGTTTAGGTTTAGGGTTTAGGGTTTAGTGTTTAGGGTTTAGGGCTCCCTTATTCAAAGCAATCAACTCCCTCAAAACCCTACCCCTAAACCCCAAACCCTAAACCCCAAAACCCCAAAACCCTTACGAGAATGTGGGCTACTGGCGGGGGCCATATACACTCTGCGATTTGGGTTTGGAGCTTAAACTTTGTGCCCATTAGGCCCACATCTTCCGAGCAGCCTGCTTGAAAAAAAACAGGGTTTTTGGGTTTTTGGGTTTTTGGGTTTTTGGGTTTAGGGCTTCTGGGTTTAGGGTTTAGGGTTTAGGGTTTAGGGTTTATATGGCTTAGGGTTTAGAGTTTAGGGCAGGTCATGGGTTTAGGGTTCAGGGCAGGCCATGGAATGTCCTTTCCTGGAAGCAGCGGCCTGTGTGCACACTGCCTGGCCCTACTACAGCATTGACCTACTCAGTTTGAGATGAAGCGCATGTCGGGAACTGCCATGAGTGCAGGCAGCAGTCTCTTCCAAGACTTCTTCTTCTGGCAGAAGAAAGAACGAGGGCTGCCCACACCTTGGGATTGCCTTCGATGGCGGGACCATCAATCAATCTACGGCCCTTGGCAAACTGACCTTATGCCTCAGCGAGGACACTGCAAGAATGTTCTAGAAGTCCTGCGAGTCCAGGTAGTGTAGCTCAAGCACGTCCCCTTCCGGTTCCTGCCGTACAAGCACGACATGATCTTGGTGTCACAAGACGCCCTTCACATCTTGAAACGGTTCGCGCTTCATCACTGCTCAGCAACTCCTAGCGTTCACTGGGGAAGCTCCGCGACGGATGAGCTGCATGCTCTGTCGAGGCATGTCTTGGAAGGCTCTGAACCTTGTAGTTGCACCCTAAATCCTGGCCCTGCGAACCCTGTAAGCTCTGCACTTTTAGAATGCCCGTTGGATTCTTTGCCCGTGGAATTTCCAGCACTAGACACCGAAAGCCCATTGCACTCTGAGTGTCGGGGGTTTAAGGCTTGAGGGTCTCTAGGGTTGTAGGGAGCGGTTTATGTTTTCCTGGGGGGTTGATATGACTGCAAAAACACGGGATTGCAGTCGGATAGGGTTGAGGGTTCACGGACCCAAAATAAGGGATTCTCGTAGTATAGGGTATTTATGACTGGGATTTCAGCTGGCACGATGTGCCAGAGCCGCTCAACGCCCTGAACCCCACAACCCCTAAAATACAGCCCCAAACCCCAAACCCTATACCCCCTAAACCCTAAACCCCAGAAAAACAACCTAAACCCCCTAAACCCTAAACCCCAGAAAAACAGCCCAAACCCCCTAAACCCTAAACCCTAAACCCTAAACCCTACCCCCCCCCCCCCCCCCAAAAAAAAAAAAACGCCCGAGCGCTCGACAGGGCCTCCCTCGTGCGCAGCGAGAGCAAGGGCTCCAGTGGCCAAGGCGCAAAATGCCCCCTGAGAATTGACCCTATAAGCCCTGAACCTTAATAGGTTTAGGGTTTAGGATTTAGGGTTTAGGGTTTAGGGTTTAGGGTTTAGGGTGCACGACCTATAGTTGTAAGGCTCGGACCAATAGGCATGAAACACAGATTCAAAGTCCCAAGCCCGGAGGGCAGGCCAACAGGAAAGACAGCTGCGTCTCAAGTGACGCCCTTAAGCCCCCAAATGCTTACAAAAGCGCCCTGAATTCCCAACCCGAACCCCGTAAGCCCCTTCAAAAACCCTTAAAACACCCTTAAAACACCTTCAAGCCCTGAAGCCCCTAAAACCACTCAAACCCCTTAAGCCCCTGACCCTAAACCCTAAACCCTAAACCCTAAACCCTAAACCCTAAACCCTAAACCCTAAACCCTAAACCCTAAGGAGACCCCAAGCTTCCTCAGCAACACGCACTTACCCGACTTACCCCAAAACCTTCAAACAGCCAGGCTTAGGGTTTAGGGTTTAGGGTTTAGGGTTTAGGGTTTAGGGTTTAGGGTTTAGGGTTTAGGGTTTAGGGTTTAGGGTTTAGGGTTTAGGGTTTGGGTTTGGGGTTTGGGGTTTAGGGTTTAGGGCTTAGGGTTTAGTAAGATTCTTGAGGGGTTTTTTGTAATTTCCCCATATTGGGGCGCAAATAGGGTCTTGCTTAGGAATATGTTTGTCCAAGGGTTTCTAGGGCCATCCTAGAGACCCTGAAAATCACTGGGGTTTAGGGATTAGGGTTTAGGGTTTAGGGTTTGGGGTTTAGGGTTTAGGGTTCAGAACAGCACCGGCAGACCCCCCCCGGAAACCCTAAGATTCTTGAAGCCCTAAAACCCCCAAGATTCCGCCCCAACGCCATACTGCCCCAAAACCCCAAAAGCTCTAAAATCTCTCTCTCTCGAGCCCCCAAAGCCCGAAACCCCCCAAATCCCCTCCTTGCCCCAAACCCTAAACTCCAAACCCTACACCCTCAACCCTTACCCTTGCAGGCTTCATTGCCTGGCTGTGGAAGGCAGCGGCCAGAGGGTTTCAGGTCCAAGGCTTTTCGAGGGCTCATCGCAGAGGGTTAGGGGTTTTGAATTGCTTTTGAGGTTTTTGGTCTTTAGGGCTTTTAGGGCTTTAGGGCTTCTAGGGTGTTGAGGGGTCAGTGCTTTTGGGCGTTGGAAGTATTTAGGGGTTTAGAGGTCAAGGTTCAGAGTTAGTTCGGCTGCCATGTTTTGACACAATTCCGGGCTTTCGGAGTGAGTGGCTTGAGGGTGTGAGGCCATAAACGCTCAACCCTGGACCCTAAACCCTAAAATTGCTAGGGAAGTCTGGCAGTCCCCGACCACCTGGTTGCTGTTCCTTCTCGGGGGGAGTGGGATGCTGATTTCATGGTTAAAGAAATAACCGAAATAAACCCTAAACCCTGAACCGCAAATTTCCCTACTACAAGCGGATGAACATTGTATCCCTTCTTTCTTGACGATCTTACAGGACCCCGAACTGACATCTACGTCCTTAAGTGGTATGTAGTCAAGCTATATAGGTTTAATTAGGCACTACAACAACGACAGAACTACCATTGGGGGGGTTAGAGGTAATTACATCCCCATGAACTCAATAGGGGCGGCATGCTCTTCCTAGGCTACTGTCAACCTCTTGAACTTTTTGCAGTCGGTATCATGTATGTTGTAGGAGGGACCCACGTTCTGTCCTGGCTTACACTCCAAAACCCTAAGAATGAGTCTCCCCATAAGCCCTAAAAGCCACACTCACATATGCATACATACATACATACATAAAGTACAAATAAGCCCCAAGCTCCAATCCCTAAGCCCTCAAGCCTAAGCCCTATTATAGCCTCTGCTTGTTGAGTTCGCCTTGGGCCGCCGGGGCGACGGTGACGTGCCGGACCCGGCGCCACCGCCCGTCCGACATGTAGAGGTGCCCTGCCCTTTTTGGGATCAACATGGGTTTTCAAGGTTGTTTCTGCTATAGGAATGGTGGTTGAGGCCTCTTTACTGTGTCAGTATAGGGTTTAGGGTTTCAAGTTGAGGCTTCTTTACTTTCTACGCATAGCTACCACACTTGTAGCTTGCACACTCTACGTATCACTGCGGGGGGACCCCTGCGAATGATCCTTGGGCCTTATGGCCTATAAACTTAACAGTTCACAGGGCATGGGGCCTGCGACCCCCCCCCCCCAGCCCTATACCCGATAAATCCTGCACACCCAGCCTTTATAAGGTTTAGCAGCCCTAGACGCCTGCAAAACCTGTAGGCCACAGTGTGTGGGTGAGTGTAGCAAAGCTGCAGCTTCGCGTTTAGGGTTCACAGGGTAAACCCTTAACCCTATAAACTCTGTAAAGCCCAAAAAACCCTATAAACCCTATAAACCCTGTAAACCCTATAAACCCTATAAACCCCATCCCTTAAACCCTATAAACCCTAATCCCTAAACCCTAAACCCTCTTGTGAATTGCAAGAGGCGCACCCGCGTCCCCAAAGTGCGGGAGCGATCCGAGAGGCCCCGCCGCCACAGAGGCTCGGACCCTAACCGTACCTTACTTAGTAAGTAGGGTTTAGGGTTTAGGGTTTAGGGTTTAGGGTTTAGGGCTTAGGGTTTAGGGTTTAGGGTTAGGGTTTAGGGTTCAGGGTTCAGGGTTTAGGGCTTAGGGTTTAGTTAGGGTGTTAGAAGCTCTTTTGATTCAGTAAGTAAGTCTACTTAGTATGCTCTGGAAGCCCTCATACGATCCCCATAGTCCACCTTCCTAACCCTACTTTCTAAGTCAAGAGGGCCTGCAAGTAGTGAGTAGTAGAGTAGGTTACCTTTTCACCTGACCTTTTTGGGTTATGAGAATCCCTATACATTAGGATTGGGGGCCGGGGGGTTCCCCCAACAGGTTCTTTAAACTCTATTTTGGGTCTATAACGTGCCTCTAAAGATCCATGGTCTTTGTGTTGCCGAACTGGTTTTTTTCACGCCTCCAGCCGCCACTTTCCACATGCTGAGCTGCCATTTTCCACGTCCACAGGCTGTTGCTTTGTTTCCACAATTTTCCGCAAGCCCGGCCAAATTGTCCAACTTTTTTTCCGTAAAACCTGCCGAGTTTTTCACAACTTTTTCCGCAAAACCGGCCGGGTTGTTCCACATTTTTTTCCGCAAAACCGGCCGAGTTTTTCCACAACTTTTTTCTGCAAAGCCGGCCGAGTTTGTCCGCAACTTTTTCCGCAAAACCGGCCGAGCTTTTCCACAGTTTTTTCCACAAACCACGGGAGGACGCGTGTGCGGAAAAAGTTGTGGAAAAAGTGTTCCATTCACAGTAGTTTTATGACACTGGCAGAAAGTAAGTTTAGAATCGTCAGGTTCTGCCCAACCTTTTCCGCAAACCACCGGAGTTTTTCCACAACTCGTTTCTGCAAGACGCCTGAGTTGTTCCACAAACTTCTTCGTGCACCGCCCCAGTTTTTCCACAACTTTTTCCGCACACCAAGTGTTCGCACAACTCTTTCCGCAGACTGCCAGAGTGTTTCCGCAACGTTTTCCGCAAGCCACCCGATCTGTTCCACAACTTCTTCCACACACCAGACCCATAGATTCGTGTGGAAAACTTTGCTTTGGAGGCCGAAGAGTGTGCAAAAATTGAATTTGTGACCCGCAGACACTGTGGAAAAACTGTCTGGAGGGTGCAAGAATTCGTGTGGAAAACTTTGTTTTGGAGCCGGAATAGTGTGGAAAAAAGTTCCCTTTGCGTCCCCAATGACAAACCACATAGTGGGAGCGTTTCTCGAGTTTGGAATGTCCCTCAAAACCTTTTCGGGGAAACCCCGATGTTCCCCCTTTTCTAACAGTCCTTAACAGGGATTTCAATAGGGTACTCTAATCCCGATTGAGGACTGTCAGTATAAGGGGGAACATCCCAACCTATACAGGCTCAAATCCAATCGTTGACCTTTATTTGCCCTATGATGATGGATAACTAAGTTACTTTCTGGCCCATAGGGAATGAGGTACTACTGAATTCCCTCATTCCCCACTAAGAGCCAGTAACCTTAGACCCTGGATCCTAGACCACCACCCTTGATAAGACCGTAAAGGGTACCTTGGTGTGTATTTCGGGCATCTTAAGGGTTACTTTGGGGGGTTAGGGTTTAGGGCTTTAGGGCTGAGGGTTTATATAGGGTATAGGGTTTAGGGTTCAGGGTTCAGGGTTTAGGGTTTAGGGTTTAGGGTTTAGGATTAGGGTTTAGGGCTAGGTGGACCCTAACCTATTACCCCAAACCCTGCAGGATCAGGGAACCAGGGCGCCCTTGGCATCGACACACTCCTTTCATGAACGATACTTCACCCTTTAAATTCTCGTCAGAAGTAAGCTCCCGGGCCAAAAGGGCTAGGGTTTAGGGTTTAGGGTTTAGGGTTTAGGATTTAGGGGTTTAGGGTTTAGGGTTTAGGGTTTAGGGTTGGTGTCGGAATAGGTATATACGATATGGGCACATTTTTCTTCTTCAGGTTGAACTTCAAGCTGCGCTCCTTCCGCGCATTTCTCAAAGTACCCTGTGGCTTGCACAGGGTGTCCGTCTGTCCTTGTGTTTCCTGGTTTCAAGAACCGGCATCTCAAATCTCATTCAATCCTTCGAACTTTGAAGTACGCATTCATGAGCTCTCTTTGTTTTTTTCTTTCTTGTTTGCGCCGTTTATTGCTTGTTCGCGAACACAAGGTGCTTGAATAGTTTACTTTTCACTTTGGCCATGACCCCGGCAAACAGTGCCTGAAGCAGAGAATCGCCTAACTCCCCGTGCTACTACACTACGCGACCATTCCAACTTCGCCCTCCCTTAAAATGCCCTCCTTGCCACCCGAAGGCACGAGAAGCAGATGTGGCAAATTGAGCAGGCGCCGGGCTTAGGTCTTTATGCGAGGTTTAGGGTTTAGGGCAAACCCTATAGACCTCTGCATCCCATAATGTTGGACCCGCCGTATCGGGGCATCCGCTAAGGCTCGTGCACCTTGGTAACACAGGGAATGTGATTCCATTTTAGGGTTCATGTGGTCCAAACGATGAGTCGTCCCCATGCCATAAGCCGGCCAAAAGTACCTCATCGAAACCCTTAGGGTTTATGGTTAAGGATTTCAGGACCAAAAAGAAGCCTTATTGGCTTTCAAGCGTAGATACACCCTCCCACGCTACTCCCACTCTCTATCGAAGTTTCTGTTGACCAAAAACCTTCTTTTGAGGAAGCTGCACGCCTACACCCCACACCCGAAATCCTAACCCAACATTCTCAGAATTTAGTTCGGGTTTAGGGTTTAGGGTTTAGGGTGTAGGGTTTAGGGTTTAGGGTTTAGGGTTCAGGGTTCAAGGTTTAGGGTTTAGGGGGTTTAGGGTGCAGGGTTTAGGGCCTTAACCCTAAACTGCGCACAAAAAGGGCGCCCCTTCGAAGCTTCCCCGGAGCTGCCAGGCACGCAGCCGCCGTCCTGCGTCTGCCCCGATCAGGCCGGGAAGACTCTGGCGCGGTCTAGGGTGTAGGGTTTAGGGTTTAGGGTTTAGGGTTTGGGGTTTGGGGTTTAGGGTTTAGGGTTTAGGCGTTAGCCGATTTGTTTATCAGTTTTGCGCTCCATCAGGGGCCATGGTAGAAGACATCCCACAACAAGAGCAAAGGACTACATTCGAGTCTTGAGGTGGGACGCGCAGAAGATTTCTCTGCCCTTTGTTGAACTACAGTTGTTGAACGAATTGTTGTCTCGCGGCAGTACCCCAAGGCTCTGGCCCTTTTTTTCCAGTCCCCTTTCTGACTTTTCTGAGACCCCCTAAAACCCCTGTGGGCCCCTGATCCTGGCACCCTCAGGACCCCCCTTTGAGAACTGGCCTGGCGACCATGGGTTTAGGGTTTAGGGGTTTAGGGGTTTAGGGGTTTAGGGGTTTAGGGGTTTAGGGGTTTAGGGGTTTAGGGGTTTAGGGGTTTAGGGTTTAAGTTTTAAGATTTAGGGTTTAGGGTTTAGGGTTTTGGCCCTCCAGAATCGGGCCAGAGCTGCGCGGCGCATGTCACGGCGCTTTCGAGCCGAGTCTGCAGCCCCACCTTCACAGCTTCTGCGCCGCAAATACAACAAACCCTCACCACCCCAAAACCCTATAAACACCCCAAAACCCTAAACCCTAAACCCCAAAACCCTAGACCCTAAACCCTAGACCCTGGACCTAGACCCTAGACCCTAAACCCTAAACCCTAAACCCCAAACTCTCCCCCCCCCCCCAAAAAAAAAATCACGATAAGAAGTCCCAGGCGCGAGGTTCCACGAGTGGCCCCTGAGGAGGAGGTGGAGGTCCAGCCGCAGGAGCGAACCATAGGAAGGTTTACGGTTTTTAGGGTTTGTTAGGGTTTTTTTTTTCAGGGTGCTTTTTGGGTTTTGTAGGGGTTTTAGGGCTCTCAGAGTTTTTAGGGCTTTAGGGTGTTTAGGGTGTTTAGGGTTTTTAGGGCTTCAGGGCTTTTAGGATTTTAGGGTTTTAGGGTGTTTAGGGTTTTTAGGGTTTAGGGTTTTAGGGTTTAGGGTTTTGAGGGTTTTTAGGGTTTTAGGGTTTTAGGGTTTTGGGCAGCTTTAGAGTTTTTAGTGTTTTAGGTTGTTGTTTGTTTAAGGGTTTCCTTTTTGGTGTTTTTAGTTTTCAGGGTTAGTTCTTTATTTTTTTTAGGGTTAGGGTTAGGGTGTATGCTTTAGGCACTTGGCTTTAGGGTTTCTGGGGTTTATGGGTTTTGTAGGGTTTGTAGGGTCTGTAGGGTTTCTAGGGTTTATGGGGCCCATGGGGTCTGGTTTGCAGGCGGCTTATAGGGGTTAGAGAGTTCATGGGGTTTAAAGTGTTTGTAGGGTTGCGGAAAGGAGCGCTAGGGCCCTCAAGCCCTAGAAATTCAGGCTTTAAAGTCTCGGGCTTTTGGCCCCTAAACCCTAAAACCCGAAACCCTAAACCCTAAACCCTGAAGCCAGAAGTTCCAGGGCTTCTGCTATGCAAGATTTTGCGCCCTAAGTTCGGGAAACCATAGCGAGATGTATGGGAGCTCCCGAAGACCCACCCGCCCCCTGCACCGCCTTGCGGCTCCTTCAGGTTTAGGGTTTAGGGTTTAGGGTTTAGGGTTTATGGTTTAGGGTTTAGGGTTTAGGGTTTAGGGGTCCAGAGTCTTCGTATGCTGAGTGTCTTGGGGCTTCCCCACAAGGATGAGCCCTTGGATAAAACAAGAACGAAAGGACAACTTGATGGGCCCAAGACTCAAATCTTGGACCCAGAGTAGGCCCGTTTAGGGATTACAGGGTTTAGGGTTTAGGGTTTAGGGCCCTTATCTCTCCTTTTCGGGGTAAGGTTCCCCTTCGGCACCCTTATTCTTCCTGTAGGTTACTCTTGGGTCTAGAAATGAATCTTCAGCCCTAAGCCCACTCCAGGCGTGGGGGGCGATTGCGTTTCAAGCTTTAGGGTTTAGGGTTTAGGTTCAGGGTTTAGGGTTTAGGGTTTAGGGTTTAGGTTTAGGGTTTAGGGCTTAGGGTTTAGGGTTTAAGGTGTTCAGTGTACCTTGTCATGCAAAGGGTACTGTAGGTACATGGTCATGTGAGCATTTTATACTATTTACTAGCTAGCGCAGAGTTTTAAACGCTTTGGTGTTCTCAAGTTCTAGGACCCAGAGTAAACCAGCAGTATACCCAAAGGGTCGAGGGTTTAGGCTCAAAATCAAAAAGGTTTAGGGTTTAGGGAAAAAGGGTTGAGGGTCACACTGCTTGCCACTGCGGGACTGCGGGACGACGTGGTCGACGTTGACCCTTTCAGCGTTGAGCAGCGCTTTGAGGCGCTTCAGGATTCGATCCGCAGGGGCACGCCGGAAACCCTAAACCCTAAACCCTAAACCCTAAACCCTAAACTTATAAACCCTAAACCCTAAACCCGCTGCCCTGTTTGCATCCGTGTTCTGGGAAGGAAGTCGGCAGGTATATTGAGCCAAGGATGCAACCCACAACGCCGGGGACTGCGGCAACGCAAAAGGGTGGCCGAGCGGCTGGCCCTGAAAACAAACCCCCACAAGAGGATGGCCCCCTAACCCCCACAAGGGGATGACAATGGGAAGATCTCATACCGAAACCGTTTCAATCTGTAGGATGAGATGGTGTAGTGTGGCTTTATTAGGGTGGGGGGCGCAGAGTTAGGGTCTAGGGTCAGGCAGGCGTTCAGGCTCCCGAACACCTTTACTGGGGTAGGTTTGAACACAACTTGTATTTTAGTCCCCATAATCCCCTATTTAATCCTTATAAAGCCATTTTTTATAGAGCTCCCAAAACTACGCCAGTTTAGATGCTGTTAGAGGCCGTTAATCCCAGACCCGGCAGCCGCACACAGGCGTCAATGGCTGCACGTGCCGCACCGAAGACACCGCAAGGCGCATGAGATCGTTTTAGGGTTTCGGGTTTAGGGTTTAGGGTTCAACTCTCGATCCAAAAGGCCTTGGTTTAAGAAGGAGCCTTACATTGGTATTATGCTTGAAATTTCAAGCAGAAACCCAAACCCAGAAGGTATTTCGAGGGTTTACCTAGTGCTTGGAGTCGACGCCTATGCAGAGGTCTCGGTTTTTGTTTTGCTGGCTAAGCCCTAAACCCTAAACCCGAAACCCTAAACCCTAAACCCTAAACCCTAAAACAACATAATCGAACGATCACGCCTCTAGCACCTGTCCTTCCACATAGAGGTTTGAGAGAGGAGAGAGGGACGATGCCCAAATCATCTTCAAAACCCTGTGCGGGACAGGGCCACTTGAAAGGCCACACCCCAAGTTGCTGGGCCCAAAATCAAAATCTGTAAGAAACACGACGGGCTCAACTGACAAGCGACCCCCTCCCCCATGTTGAGCCAAGAGCTAACGAAGTTTTTGCAGCTGTTCAGATTTGTCAAGTAGCAAAGAGCCTGTGTGGTTTTATACTCTCGAAATTGCTCGTTCAAGTTCGTAAGCCCCCTATACACTTAGCGGTTTCGGGCTTGGAGCTCGATTGCTTGGAAAGCTGGGGGAGTCCTATAGATCCCCTGGAAACATGCATGAAAGCCCTAAACCTAAACCAGAGTTTAGGGTTTAGGGTAAAGGGGTTTAGGGTTTAGGGTTTAGGGTTTAGGGTTTAGGGTTTAGGGTTTAGGGTTTAGGGTTTAGTAGCTCAAACCCTACTCAAGACTTCGCTTAAGAACAACACTCTTCTTGGTTGGTCAATGTTGTAACAACTCTGCATAAGATGCGCCTAGGTAGTGAGCTTGAAGACGTCTTCGGGATTTATCAAGGGTTACCTTGCACCTTGGAGGTTCACCACACCCTGAACTTGTTCGACGCTATACCCTGAAACCTTACACCGTAAGCCTTAGACCCTCAAACCTTCAACCCTGACTGAAACCCCTACAACCACAGGCCCCCCTATAACCCTCTAAACACCCCTATAAACCCCTCCAAGCCCCCTACAGCCCCATAAACCCCTACAAAGCCCCTACATCCCGATAAACCCCTATAAACCCCAACCCCTATTAACCCATACAAATCCCTATAAACCCCCTTGTAAACCCATAAACCCCTAAAGCCCCAAACCCGAAACTCCAGCCCAAAACCCCTAAACCCTAAACCCCCACAAACCCTAAACCCTAAACCCTAAACCCTAAACCCCAAACCCCAAACCCCAAACCCTATACCCTACAAACCCTGAAACCCCTAAACCCTTAAGCCCTTCAATCGTTCAGCGCTCTTCTTCCCTGAGCCCTGAACCCTAAACCCCAAACCCCAAACCCTAAACCCCAAACCCTAAACCCTAAACCCCAAACCCTAAACCCCAAACCCTAAACCCCTACTAAACCCCTAAACCCCTAAACCTTTCAGGGTTTCCGCGCTCTTCTTCCCTGACATCTGGTCCGCTGCCTCGGCGGCGCCCCACGTCGGCTCCGCCGCCCCGGTCGCAGTGGAGCCTAAAGAGGGCCTTGAGGGGCGGTTAGGGGTCTAGGGTCTAGGGTTTAGGGTTTAGGGTTTAGGGTTTAGGGTTTGGGGTGGTTTAGGCTTGGGTTGAGGGTTTACAAGCCCCAAGCCCTAAACCCAGAAATCGGGGTTGCCAGGGGGCTTATAAGGTTGGAGGTTTTGGCCACTATAGGGGTCGGGGGGGGGGGGGGGGGGGGGGGGGGGGGCGGGTGAAGGGTTGACCTCTTGGAGTTCAGGGTATTGGGCTTGGAGGCTTCGAGTCTCCTGTAGAGTCAAAGTTTAGGGTTTGGGCTTAGGGGTTGTGGGTTTTGGGTTTAGGGTCGTTTTGTATGTGAATCACAAGTGAGGACTCCAAGCATAATTAAGTGCATGAGGGTTCTAAGCGAACGGTGCGGGCTGCGGCAAATTTAGCCCCAAGCGCGCTAGAAGCATGAAGCATAACCCTCAACACTAAACCGAATAGTTGTTTTGTTCCTAAACCCTAAACCCTAAACCCTAAACCCTAAACCCTAAACCCGAAACCCGAAACCCTAAACCCTAAACCTTGAGGTCTCTGCGGTCAAACCGCCCGACCACGCCTGGGGCAAGCCGCCAGAGGAGCAGCACAGACCTGCACAGAGGGCAAGAAAAGAAGTGGCTTAGGGTTTCAGGGTCTAGGGTTCAGGGTTTAGGGTTTAGGATTTAGGGTTTAGGGTTTAGGGTGTAGGGTTTAGGGTTTAGGGTTTAGGGTTTAGGGGTTTCATGCTGCACCGTGCCGTGCCGGTTTTGCTCACACCCCTCCACACCCTGGGACCTTTGGGCCTTAAACTCTCATCAACGGCTTCGAGAGTTTAGGAACCCGAAAGGCCCTAAACCCGAACTGACTTAGGGCTCAGAGTTCAAAGCCCTGTTGACCACCTTAAGTACGGGGCTTAGGGTTTAGGGGGCTTATTCGTCAAGGGAGTCGTAGTCGGACCGGTAAGGATGTACCCCATGATAGGGCACGATGGAAACAAAAGGCGGGGTATTGCTGGCATATGTGATGATATAACTCTGCCTAAACCCAGAATTTCGCAAACCCTATAACCCTTAATTAACCCTAAACCCCACCCTTAAGGCGACAGTAGGAAGACCGAAACCCTAAACACCCCCAAGCTCTTCTTCGAGTTTCCGGGCACCTATAAGGAAAACATAACCGTCGTTATCGCCGACTTATCTGCCCTTTAAGGTCCCCTAGCAGGGTATAAGTGGGTTAGAAGTACGCATATGTTGGGACATGGTCATTAAGTGCCCATGGACCTCGAAGCCCTGGACCCTCAACCCTCAACTCCCTCCATGCCCAGCAAGAGCCTGAACCCTAAACCCTGAACCCGA